AATAATACTGAAAAACGTTCATTGTTCATAACAGGTGAAATAGTTGGAACATTGACTACGGATAAAGAAAGTCTCGTATTACAGTATCAGACTAAGACAATAAGAACTATCATCACGTTTACATGTAACCACCAAGGACAGGTGAGTGGAGTTTCGGTTGACAGACCGACCGACAGAAACGCAAACACAGACGGCCACAGACAGTGCCTACTGCAGCTTTGCGGGAAAATAGGTTAGGACTAGTAGCTATTCAGTAGAAATGAAAGTCGTTTTGGAATGTTACAGTATGGTCTTTCAATGCGTTTTCTTTGATTACAGACAGGTGAACCGAAGTTAAGTAGTCTTGTTACAAACCGTCTCTATTCGTTTATTTGGGAAACGAAAGAAGCTTGCAGAATCGAGCCAAAAAATGATGAGTCTGGCTGTCATGACAAGGACACTCGTATATATTTGTTAAAAACACCGGACAAAAAGGTGATTTTGATTGGAGTAATATTGAATCACATAATAAAGACACACAGAAGGTCGACTCAGCCAAAAAAAGCGTAACAGCTGCCACGCCATGATTCGTCATCAAAATGCTGACGCCATGGTCCTAGCCAGTGCGCTTATGGGAGGCATCCCCCCTGGACGTCTGCCATTTTGAATATTATCAGGGGGTGAAGACCTCTCATTAGCGCACTGGCTATCTATAGGGTCATGGCGTCAGCATTTCGATGACGGTTACGCCAAAATCATAGGAAAAACCAAGAAGTTGACCGTCTGTAGAGTCTCTATTATTCTGTGATTGAATGTGTCAGGTGTTCGCTATACAATAGTTAGTAATATGGAGCTATATGCCTGATGATATATGGAGATGCCTGATGATATATGGAGATGCCTGATGATATATGGAGCTGCCTGATAGGCTTTCGTTGGTAGGGATACAACTACTTGATATGGGATGCAACCTATCCTTATATTTTTCAGGTAGTTGCATCCCTACCTAATGAAAGCTTGTTATATTTTTGAATTTTGAGGCCTTTACTGGACCTGTATAGCGAGAACAGTTTAGAACTGTAATAAGTTCTTTATAGGTTTGCATGGCGAATAATAATTATATATAATACTTTTTATTTGTGGAAACACAACGTGAATTTATTTCTGCAAAGCTTTCATATAGCTTTACTTTCTTTCAAAGTTTTCACATATTGTTAGCACTGATGAAGATTCGGGCTTACGGATGGAAAGCTTTGCAGTAATAAATTTGCCTGGTGTTTCCACAAACAAAAAGTATTATATAGTTTAGAACTGATAGAGATGTATCCAGTACCTATAAATAATAATTAGCTTATAGCTAGTTTACTCGTGCAAAAGCGAGAAGCACATATACACTGATTAAATCAAAACTTGAAAGGATAAATCCTAGAACCCTAACTAATCCGCAAACAAAACCATTTTGTCTTACAGGGTTACACCATACCCGGTCCGGATGGAGGCAGCATCACATTGGGTATTTGTCAAAATATAACTTGTGGCAATGAAAAGGCATCTACTGCGTGCTTCATAAAAAATGGAGTGGCTGTCTCTATTGGCCGGTCAGCGAAGAGTACTCTAGAGCATGGTTCAAATGTCAATACTCTTACCTATCGGTAAGTTTTATTTGTTGTCAACAGCGTTGTTGTTAATGGTGTGTCACTTTTCTTGCGTTATAGTCAAATCCATAGTTTCGAAAGGAATCTTACCCTCTTTTATTTTTAAAGTGCGATTGACCACTAATATGGTTTATGGTATGTGTAATATTTGGGTCATTCGAAGAAGAAATGTAATGTATCTTTATAATAAAAAATCCCATCTTGATCAACATTTTCATTGTCAAAGGTTCCGGATATGATGTCATTTGGTGAATTGCAAATTAGTTTTCCTTTGTTTTTCGTACCAAAAATTCATCAAATGACATCATATCTGGAACTTTGACAGCGAAAAAGTTGATCAAGACGAGGTTTTTTGCTATAAAGATACATTACATTTCTTCTCAGAATGACCCAAATATTACACGTACCAAAATTACATTTGGGGTTAGTCGCATTTTAAATGTGTCCCTCATTTTTTTACCATTATCCCCCCTCTCTTCAAAAATTTCCAGCCCTCCCTCTTGGACTAGTATATTACTTTTCGGGAACGTGTATATATGTTTGTGGCTCTAGGGCCGGTTGTTTGAAAGCCGATCAGCTTAACCCTAGGTTACCTAAATTCAAAGCAAACTTCCTAACAGCTGGTTTATAAATTTTATAAATTCGGAAATATATCTTAAAAAATGTTGTCTGTATCAGTAGCAGGGGTCAATATAACGGTCGGCCACCGGCCATTAGCCGAGCAAAATGCTAATATGGCCGTCTACTGATTACTTTGCACGGACATTATGGCCCACCGTTTTCTAGCAATTAAAATCTTTAATCTTTAATACATGCAAACAAATATCCCGTCTGCAGGGCTTTCAAAATAAGCCGGCGGCCGCCGGAGCTCCGGTGGGTGGTGCGAGCTTTACCGCCGGTTACTTTGTTTAGTACTTGAAAAATCAATTCTGCTCTCCTTCCTCCATTCTAAGCTTTGAAACAAAGTTATTTTTCCTCAACTTGGTCTATACTTTATAGCCTGGTTATTTTCGAAAACGACGTACTATATTTCGTAAAACTGATTTAGTTATTGCCATCTTATTGTCGATTTCAAGTCACTTTTCAACGCGCGGTTCCCAAGTTCGTTACAAACTTACCAATTACGTTTCCAAGTTCAAAAATTGGGCGTGAACTTTGCAACAAAGTTTGCAAGTACGTTTCAACGTTTGAACTATTGTAAACAAACGTTTATAGTTCAAGTTGAAATTAACAATTCAATGGAAAGTTCTTGGTGCTACCGAGAAGGTTTGTATTTCTTTGAATTGGTTATTATTATTGAGTATGAACATTTGTTTACAAACGAAGTTCAAACATTGAAATGAACTTGCGAACTTTGTTGCGAATTTTGCGCCCAATTTCCGAACCAGGAAACGTACAGTAATACACGCTTCCGGAAAGTACGTCATCTTGGCTATAGAGCCTCGTTTACGTGATTGAGACGTGACCTTTAACTGATGTCTGATACATGAAAACGAGGCTCTGTAGCTAAAGTGACATACTTTCCGGAAGGGTGTATTGGCAAGTGCGCAACGAACTTGGAAACCACGCGTTGAAAAGTGGCTTGAAATCGACAATAAGTCTTGTTGAAGAATGCAAGTAGTGATACATCATAATTTGTGTTGTGTTGCTATCTGATCAACGTACTGTATCTAATCAACTGCTATCTAATCCCTCCCCACAGCCGCCTACTTTATCAAAACAGACACCTACTCTGAATAATTCTGAAAGCCCTGCCGTCTGCTAGACATTCACAGAATCTGACTTACAGTAGCGTAGCCAGCCCGACTATTTGGTCCCGCTATGCAAATATTCTCGTGTTCATAGACTGTGAAAACAATCAATTTCTAAAGAAATGAATAATAATAATAATTTTGAATTTGCATAGCGGGACTAAATTTCGGGCTGGCTACGCCACTGCTGACTTAGTCCCGATCCACACAATAACAATGTCATCTCATGTGTTAAAGTGCATATGACATGAAATGTATTATTTTCTTAAATGAAAGAACTCTTTAAGCTGTAGTGTAACTTATATTTCAGTTTCTTGTTTTTATGGTTTGTTCCCGAGATATTTCAATTTGTTTGATGTGTAAATGAGTGTGAATATGTCCGATAATTTATGACGTCACGTTGGTTGCAAGCTCCTCAAAATGGTTGAATATCACTGCTATCATCCAAGATGATAACTTCAAACTTCCCTCACTGGTAAATGTGATGAAACACTGGAGAAAAACGTGAACTGTTATTTCCAGTTTTTAGAGTTAATAGATTAATAGCCAGTGTAAGTTGAGCTTGCAACCAACGTGACGTCATAAATTAGCGGACGTATTCACACTCATTTACATATCAAACAAATTGAAATATCTCGGGAACAAACAAAAAAAACAAGAAACTGAAGTATAAGTTACACTACAGCTTAAAGAGTTCTTTCATTTAAGAAAATGATAAATTTCATGTCATATGCACTTTAAGACTAAAGAGAAATATTTTGTATTATATATACTGTTATTAAGGTTACAGAACACCTTTGAGTGTTAATTTTGCCTAAAATTTTTTTATTCGTTTCAATGAAAGCATTAGACTAGTTCTACTATCTGACCAAGTTTGAACGAAAAATGTTGAAAACTCGCAGAGTCATTTAATAAAATACATTTCGCTGCTATAAGAAAAACATTGGAAATGTAATATTCAAATTCAATTTTCTCACGAAACATTTCACGGTAATTACTGATTTTCAAACGAGTTATGCTCCTGCGGGATTTAACCAATTTTTCTCAAATTTTCACAGGACATAGCTAAATACGTAAGTTTCACAATTGTGTTTGGCTTTTTTTTAATTTTGGATATTTTAAAAATAAAGAGCAATTTACTCAAACAATTCAGAAATATATTGCAGTCGTCAAATAAATCGCCATATCAGCGGAATGACGAAATAAACAAAAATTTCCGGACACAATTTTTTAGAACAACTATTGTACTGTATAAAAATGATATTTTCCTAAATATAACTTAAAACCAGCAGGAGCACAACTCAAAAGCGTAAAGGTACCGCGATTTAAGATTTTCCTGAATAATTCTTACATTATTTTATTGCTTGTTAATTTTACAACTTTACCATATTTTGCATGCACTGGAGAACATTTGGTGAAAATTTGATGAAAATCGGACTGATATTGAGCGCGCAGTAGCGATTTTCCGCAAAACGCCAAAAAGGGTGTCCTGTAACCTTAATGTTGTTGATTTCATGTTTATACTAACTTATATTTTAATACTCGCTTTAATGTGCATTATTTTATTACTTTAGATATCTTTTTTATTAATAGCGAAGTCCAAAGCCAAAGAAGCTAGGATTGTTTACTATAATCTATTGACTACATATTCAACTTATAAAATACGGATTTATTAGGAATGTAATTAAAACTAATACTTTCAAATTTAAACTTTTTTAAAAAATGTCAAAGATAAAATCTTCCGTTGACCAGTAAAACTATTTTGTTTTGACAATACAACAAAAATATGTTATTATAAAAGCAACATTTTTATTTATCTATTTTTTGAATATTCAGTTTTGTAAAATAGAGAACCGCCTTTTAACACTGTGTTAATTAATAGCCTAACACTGTCTGGTAAACTATTGCTTCTCTCAGTCATAAATTTAACAACAGACGCTCTCACTGAAAACGATGGCGTCCCAGACTCATATTTTGAGCATGATCCATCATCTGCTTATACTGTCGATTAAACTCAAGCAGAAGTTAAAATGTAGAGGCCGCTTATAGCAAAGCGGTATAAAACGCCAAGTTCTTCTTCAACGAGTTAGCAATTGCTTTTAATAGTTCGGGAAAGCATCGTTCGCTGGATGTATTGACGGGGGAAAATGGTTAGCTGCGAAAGTTCTTGGAGAAAAACCAGCACAGTCCGCAGTCAATAACAATCAACATATTGCTACTGCAGACATTCCCGTCCCGTCCGACTTTTCAATTCCCTGTTTCGGCAGTTTTTCTTCGTATCTCGAATCACTTGGACATGTTCCCCAGCAACAGTGCTTAGCATTAACCATGTTTGTAATTTGGGATAAATTTGAATTCGTTTTAGCACAGATAAAATAAATAAAAACGTCAATTTAGACCAATTTATGTTCGCTGCTAGTACAATTCTATACAAAATGTAAGTTTGTTTGTCTGAGTCTCGTGGGGGGTCTTCACTTGGAGAATCTATTTTTAGCTACTGCGGACAACGCTATTCGGATGATCCCAGATAATATTCGAAAAGAAAAGGTGTTTTACGGCGGGAGAATGTCAATATTTTACATTTTGAGGGATTAAAGTTGATGTTGTTATCCTTACTCCAAACATCCGCACACGACAAAGCTTCTTGTAACTGTGAACAATCCTCTGGAGTTGAGATTTCTCTATATAATTTGGTATCATCAGCATTGACAGTCCTGTTGATGTAGATTCAGGAATGACATCAGGAAGATCGTTGATGAAGAGTAAGAAAAGTATTGGACTCAAGATGCTTCCCTGTGGAACGCCTGAAGTGACGGGGGACCATGACGAAGCAGCACCCTCTACAACAACACGCTGGGTACGGTTATGCAGGTAGTCAGAGAACCATCTGTAAAGGTTTCCTGCGATACCGTAATGTTTCAGCTTTCTTAAGAGAATAACATGATCCACTGAGTCGAAGGCTTTAGCGAAGTCAAGAAATAGAATGTCCGTCTGAGTATTTTTGTCAAGCAATTGTCCAATACGATGTAACGTTGAAAGAAGCTGTGTAGTACAAGAACGGCCATGAAGAAATCCATGCTGAGCTTCGTTAATCGAATCGCGGATATGTTCGTAGAAACGATTACAAACGCATCGCTCCAAGACTCTGCTGATGATAGATAGCAGTGAAATTGGACGGTAGTTGATAGCTAGTTCTTTCTTATCTTTCTTATGAATTGGTGAAACATCAGCTGATTTCCATTCAGATGGAACAGTACCAGTACGTAATGAATAATTAAAGAGTGAGCAAAGACTTGGGGCAATGACATAACTGCATTCCCTCAATACCCGAACAGGAATACCATCGGGGCCTGTTGCCTTAGTTGGATCCAAGTGTGCAAGATGATGGGCAACTTCTTCTTCCGAGACAGTTATATCAGACAATTGTTCCACAGGCGACAGAAAGAGAGGTGAATCGTCAGTAATAGGTAGAGCTTTAAGTGGTCGAAAAACGGAGCAAAAGTATGAATTAAAAAGTTCTGCTTTTTGTTTAGGGGTCGTCGCTGTCTCATCGTTGTGTAATATGAGAGGATTCAATGCTGAACGGTGGTGGAGTGCCGCTATATGGTAATTCCAAAACAATTTCGGATTTTCTTTAAATGAAATTTCAATTTTGTCTAAATACTTTTTATGTTTCTTTCGAATAACATCTTGACTTGCTGACACAATGTCCGGAGTTTAACTTTTTACGTCCAGGCGTTTTCTTTAAGCGATATTTCCGTAAGGCGGTGTACTTCTTTCGGATTAGATGGCGAACTTCTACATCGATCCAGGGAGGAGAGTTGGTATCCTTAACAACTTTGATCGGAACACAACTTGACACAATTGATAAAAATAAGTCCTTCCAATGTTTCCAAGAATCATCAATATTGTCCGAAAGAGATACACGAAGATCTGTTTGAGACAAGGCTTTACAAAGTTCGGAAAAGTTAGCTCGGTTGCAATCATAAACTGTTCGCCGCATAGGTTTTTTTTCTGAACTTTGTACGAATAAGGAATCCAATAGTATAGTGATCAGACGGAAAGTTGTGTTCGTCACAGGAGAGAGTTAGTACGTCGGACAGGGTTTCGGTACGATTACAAAACAGCAAATGAAGCTTAATTCCAGCACGGTGGGTTGGGCCATCAACGAACTGATACAGAAAATTATCGCCGATAAGTTCACAAAGCCGGTTTTCACCTATCAATTTTCTAAAGTCGTTTCTTTTCGGATTTTTTTATTAATTTGGTTAGGGTCAGGGTTAGGGTTGCGAACTTGCGGTTAGGGTTAGGGTTGGGGGTTAGAGTAGGGGTAGGGTTTGGGTTAGTTACATAGGCATTTAACACCTCTTCCATCTTCCGAAAATGACGTCAGGTCAGTTTGCTCGATGGAAAATAGTGCTAACCTTCGTGGTGAGAAGAGGTTATTTCGCTGGCCTCAGACTTTGTCACTCTGAGCCTCAGAGTGACAAAACGTAACAAAGCAATGGTTTTATTAACACTAACCCTTCTCCAAACACCAACTCTAATCCAGATCCTAACCCCAACACTAACCCTAACCTA